AGTTTAGTAAATTGCCAAACTCTCCGCGCTGGGTATAATTAATCGACGAAAACATTACGTGGACGTCTAACTATAAAGGTTTTGTTATACAGTATATATTTGTCAATGATCCCATGCACGAGTATCGATATCTCGGCGCCATCAATGAATTGAATTAGGTATCAACTAACGAGTGTAAGAAGAGAGCGAGTAGGACATGAAAAATAAGGAGTTGACTGAGTAAGTGATAGTCACTGTCGGTTGTAGGGGTTAATATTATCAACAGCATAATAGTTTTTTTTTATAATAACGATTTACTTTTAAAGAATAACGTACTGTAACGTAATCTACTAAATACAGCAGTGTGTGTTGTATTGCACTATTTGTTATTCTCTTGAGTTTTAAATTTAACATTCGAGTATTTATGTACTGTTTTTATCACATTATACCGCGTTGTTCCGTCACTTGCGTAATAATCCAGGTAATTGTATAGGTACGATGATTTAAGTTAATAACTAGGATGGTGACGACGTTTTCTAGATACAACCAGATTATTAAATTATTATTATAATTAATATTTGTGTTCAGATTGATACCGTATCTTGATATGTAAGTGAACGGAAAATTAATAAATTGTAGCTTTTATTGTTATCGCTGGTATTCTTTAGTTACTACAGAATCAGTCTTAAAAGTATCTATGTGTACGATAATAATTTGAACGTGTTTTTATTTAGGACATCTACTTAAGAGTTATTCTACTGAGAATAGTCTGGTCAATGTTAAGCAGACGCAAGGTAACGTGAGGATTACTCGGCGATAATATCAACATATTATTGGTTCTGAATTTTGATTTTGTTCAAAAATTTCGGTGAGATTAAGGAATTATTTGTGGACGAGTACGGAAGATAGTACTATGAGATGTCGCTATGCTATTTGAGGAAAATTAAGAAGCGTTATGTTACAAATTTGCTTAATTCTTTATTGTAATCGTCCTCATTCATTGCATGTTAGATAATAGTATCAAAACTTTAAATACTGGAGATGCGATGAACCAAATACGCCACTCAAAATTCGACCAAAGAAAATTCTTGCAAGAAGAACGAACAAGTCCCGACTTTATGCACTAAATTTGCGTACTCCTACTTTGAGGCTTGAGTAATTACTACATTTATCTTTTCTGGTTATCTGCAAAACTTTTCGTCTGAATGCCTCTAATATTAGCTGTCATTTCCAATTATCGGTATTATTATTATCAGTTTTTGCTTTACTGAAACTATTTATTGCTATGTTTAATTAACTTTAAAATTAAAGAAAATATTTTATGGATAACGCATAAACGCGGAAGAATATATGATATTGCAAATCAAAAACTTGTCTGATGAAATCTTAAATACTTTATGCAGCGATGTTATCGTAACCTTCTAACATACCTAGATTATGACTTATTCTTTCATATTCAACGCATACGTACGCGTTGTCTAATTTAATCTCCAATACTCTGTTAAAATTGTCGATACGGCATCATATTTTATGAGATAAAATGTGAATAATACCAATTACGCAATTAGGGATTGTTTTAGATCAATAATCGACAGTTTCCCCAATAGTCGATGCGCAATATAATCGGAATTTTCGTGTCGTTGTTTTTGGATTACTGCTTAAATGTCTGTTAATGCTTCTGATAGGTTAAGTATTTCATATACTTGTAATATCAATCCATATAAGCAAATTGTCTCAATCGTAATCTCAATCAAGCGTCTACAAATTTTTTATACTTACAGATGCTGACAAGCGTATGTTTACTTGTGCATTAATTTTTCACACACTTGTAATCTCAATCCAGCGATTAACTTAGTCGACGTACAATGCTATCGAATGTTCTACACTTGTTCAAATGTAATTGTATATTTTAATCAGAATTGTATTACGTCTAACCAGTTCTGCTGATTGATGTTGGGAATTATCTTCATCGAACATACATAAAGAAGAGGCTTAAAACTCCATAATACAAAAATAGCGCTTGTTTCTAAGAAATACGGCAACAGAGAAGTGCATTGTCTTAAGAACGTAGTGGATATACCTCTCCTTGCGACATAATAGTAAATGGTGTCCGACCGGTCCACACTCGTAACGTACCGATTTGTTTGCGACTTGAATCAATGTAAGAATATTCGATTCGAACAGCCTACGCGTAAGCAAGCATACAATAATAAATGTCAAATAAATACAAAAATATTAGATACTGGCAGGCTTTACGCGTAAGCAAGCATATATAATTGACACTTGAATCTACTCGAAAGGGAAAAAGAGTAACCTACCAGTATCGTGCAATTTATGTATGACGTTAACACGAAACGCTAATTGGCTGCATTAAAACTTTTATTATGTGATAATTTAGGGATGCACGGCCGTGCGGGGTGCACGAATTTCATTTTCCCAATTAACATAACGTTGTAAAGAGTTGATAAAATAAACCCAATAAGCGCGTAATCAAAAACGCTTAATCGTCTATATTAATATTCGGTTTTTATATTAGTAAGCATACCACACACGGCATGACACCCTTCCTCAAGTAATTAAAAGTAAGTGCGATCGGTTTTCTGACACAGAGATGATAGTAATCTCGATAATAAAAATTTTTTATAAGACGTTGGCTAGTACTTATCCCGCCACCACCATCAATGTTTTTACTTGACCCCAATAAGAAAACATCTTGTTCCTGGTTGGGCAGAGCTTCGACTGCAATTCGGCACCTTTTTTTTGGAACTTCGGTTGAATGACCAAAAAAAGAATTGCTCGCTCATATTCAGTGAAATCTCCACTTTAATATACTGTACGTATAATTCCATATAAACATTATTTGTAAGACAGTATTCAATTTTTATTTGAAAAAACTCAAAAACGAGCTTAGCAATATGCTGTTGTTATTTGTAAATTATACATTTTTTTATTATTTATTTTTCTAGCAAAGTTTGTTATTGTTATGGTGACAGTAAATAGAAATTGCCTTGCACCATGTAATTACTTATATATTTTGCATATTAATATGTCAAATTCAGTTCATTTTAGTAGGTTGTTGCAGCATTCCAGTTCCATTGCCATGTATCCACCTTTGATTCATAAAGCGCGGGAATATTGACTATGCTGCTTCAGCTACCCAATAGACCTTGCCAACAGTTATAATATACATACTTCATCTCTTCAGATCCGTTTACACGACTAACATAATAGTTATGTTATTATTAATATAGTCACCACTTCTACAATATTTCCAAGAACCTGCTCATATGACTTCTTGTTGAGCTTTATATTGAACGCATCATGTATTCTATAGACTCTATTACAATGAACAGTCGGTGACATAAAAAAACTCTGGTGCTGGTTTCTGCATATATGCATAACTGACAATCATAATCAATGCACCTTTGTTGTACCATCAAGTAAGCTTGACTATTACTATGTTGTTTTGATTTGTGAATCTCACAACTTGTCACCTGCATTTTGCGTATTTAAAAGGCCACAGGTAATTATAATAGTTATACTGGTCTGGTAGTAGTACTAGTAAGCTTGATTCAGGATCCTCATATAAAATATTGTCGACTTCTCATAAAGGCCCTAAAAATTGTGCCAACTGTAAACTTGCTTGAATATGAAGTATTATTGTTGTCAATGATATATTGATATAGAAATAGCTTGTAAGAGAATTGGGATGGTATGAAGGTATTCAATGTTGAAGCCTGCTAAGGTAAAATCAAGGAAGGACAGTGGTAGCATATTCACTTTCCACTATATCAATAAATATTGCAAAAAATTAATGCATAAAACATAACTCATCTTGGCCAACACATCAACAGCTTCATTTAAAAATTTTCTCAGGTGAGCATAAACCCTTGCCCCCATCTGGTCACATTCATGTTTGAATGGTTTTAATTTGCTGATCACATGTTAATATTAATGTGTAAAATCAAGTGTCCACCTATTACTATTACTATATACTACTTGTAGTCACCCAGCTTGGTTTTTGCATGAGCTCCAAAAATACAATGCCCGTCATTAATCATGACTTCAGTGAAAGATGCAATAATAGAAAGATGCAATAATAGTTTGTGATTTGTTTGATTTGTTCTATTTTGTGCACAGCCACAGTTAAAGTCACATGAAAATAAGGTTGAAGGAGGAGATGAGGCCCACATACACAGAGAATTTTCTTCTACCTAGAAAATCAGCATTGTGTGTATGTCAGTATTAAGTATGACAAAAACTATGAAGATAACTAAAGCACACATATTTTATGACCATATAAATGCACACATGGGTAAACTTTATTTGTATATTTATATTTAGGGAATGACATTAGAAACTATAGCCATGAAGTATTAGTATTGTAGTGTTTACCATATAAAAAAGTCTTTGACACTACAATAAACAGGAAGCAACATTTCTTCTTTTTTCATTGGGTGGAGACAAGACAATAGTAATGGATCAAATTCCTCCATGACTTCCTTGAATGTTCAATATAACCACATTGAATTAAAGATACACAAGTAACAGATTTGATAAAGGCTTTAGATCAAAATCTAAATCCCCCCCCTCACTTTTGCAGCAGTTAGAATCACTGAAATAGAAACTAAAACTGTAAGATTGTCACCCAACACCTTAGAGATCCACCTTAGCTGATTTTAGGACAAACCAGATTTGCATCCAAATGAAATTGTGAAACAAAACAAACCACATGATCAACAATCAAATGAATAGATTGACTATTACTATGTATTGTATATGAACCCACAACTATACTAATGAAGAAAAGAACTGATCTTGGGCATCATACTCTGATGCTTCTGCAAAATGCAGTTATCATATCACAAGTCCTCTTCATTTAATTTCTAACCCATTATAATTAGTAAATCATTACAACCAGATGGGGATTCAAAACCCTTCCAGGATAATTGATTGCATGGGAAAGCTCTGAATAGACCATTTCCATAGTTTCTTCTTTTATTTTAGTCATCCTCTTTACTTTATAAATGAAACTCAATAAGCTTAATTTTGTAAGCATCTTTTGGATGTTGTATTGCAATACCAGCTCGAATAAGTAACTCAACATATGGTAACCAGACTTGTTTAGAATTGATTTGGACATATGGGTCAGGGTTTGAGAATGATTGGTTCATAAGGTCCTTGTTTTGAATAAGTAGACAAGAGGAAAGTGTTAATAATAGAATGTGTTTATGGTGCAAGCAGTTCACTCAAATGTGGAAGAATTAATGAAGAAATTACTATTTAATGTTATATTACCTCAAGCAATTCTTTTAGTGATGAAGTAACAACTCGACCTTCATTTTCAGAATCACTGTCATCTTGCTAAAAGAACCGGCAATGTAACTTTGATTCTCCTGTTTTCTCAGCAATTTGCAATAATATCTATCAATTCGTCTTACCATAAGTATAGTAGGAGGAAAATGCTTATCCACAAACACAATCAATTCTTTCATCAAAGTAGTCATATTGTCTTTTGCTATTTTTAGCTGATTTCTTAGTTTTCTGATTAGGAGACAATCCGATTAAGTAGAGTAAAACTTTTCAGTACATAGCAAGATCAAGGTCATACAATGTCAACATACCTCAATTCGGCATTCTCTGCTTCAACAGGAGTCTCATACTGCCGCTTTAAACTGTCAAGTTTGCCCCTCAACACTACATTTATCGATTCATTCTCTGTCAGGTTTTTCTGCTCTCTAATCAATACACTACTGTGAGTAAATGCTACGCCAATGTCTGTGTTTAAAACAAAACATATATGTGCTCACTGATAAATTCACTTTGTATTAACCTTTTCAGCTGTTCCTTTGCCTCTTGCACTTCTTCACGCAATCGTGGTAAGGTTTGTTTATATTGTTGGACATTGTCATAAAGCCGTTTTTTGACCATTATTTCACTTATTACTTGAGAACGTATATCCGTTTCCTTTGCATCTGGAAAAAACACTTCCAACTTAAATTTTGCTACTATCCCTCCCCCATTAGCATAATCGATAAATGAATTACTCTACTTAAATTGTAGCATGCTATTACACATATTCCCTGATATCTGAATAACTAACCCCTTTTGGCAATCTCCAATTCAAATCTCAATTTCCGTTCTTCAGCTCTTAGAATTGCCAATCTCTAAAACCATAAGTGAACAGATTATAATCAATATAAGGAATGCAGAATCAGTTAATAGCCAACTATAAACACCAATTTTGTCGGCCGGCCGGCCGGCTTACCTTTTCTTTATATGATTTATCCAATTCCTTGTCTTGTTTGCATTGTGGTATGCACCTATGCAGCTACTTATATGATTAAAAATTGTGAATTTAGCTCTCAACTACGAACAATAATAATACTATCCCGATCTTATCAGCTTGCCAACGGCTTCTCTTCTTTTCAGTACACTTTCCAGCAACTCACTTCACTCAATTTATGCCATTCTTCAAAACACTCTTGTGATATTTGTTCAATACATTCATCCAGAATGCTATCATCTAATCTAATTGGCAACGTCTTGCAAGAGGAAGAAGGAGATTTTGAGGTTGAGTACATCTCCTGGATTTGGGAAGGGATAAAGCAGATGATTACTTATTAGAAAATAAACGCATTAGCATATCAGATCAATCGCATCACGTGAACAACAAAAATTTTGACCCGTGACAAATTAGATTCCAAAATATTTTCGCAAGTAAACAAAATATGGCGTTCCTTCATCATGGAAATTTATGATACACAACTAATCACCTAGCGTGTGTTTCTGTTTCACAATCGATGAGGCTCTCGTAAAGGGAAACTATAACATTTCGTTTTTGACACCAAATTCCGTCTTTCGATCGATCGGGGATTTTCTATTTGAACGAATCATAATTCGTTATACGATATGATTAAACGAATCGGCGCTAACTAAAAAAGTAGAACATCTTGAATTATTATTACAGGCGAAAGCTTACTTCACATGGATTACTATTACTAACAACTATTGGGTCGACAATGACTATGAAAGTTCCTCAAACGTTTTAGCGCTGCCTGGATACTACGCACGCTCAACGTGCTCATATATCGGCGGTTGGTCAACACCCACATGTCCCGAGTCTCAATACAATTAGTACTCTCATGCCACGATATTAACCCTTCAAGGAGATAAAGCATATTGTGCTGTCTGAATTAAAAGTTGCGCATTCCACACTTCACGCTGACTACTTGGATGAGTATAATGATTATTTGCAACAACGTAATGAACATACAATGCCGGACTTTCTCATTGTACAGTATATCCCATCTCAGATAAAATCCCAGCGATCGCTTTCGTGTGACCCCCGAAAGTAAACGCAGTGCAGTAATGTTGTGTATTAAGCGTCGAATGTTTGTTATGCATAATAGACTAAGTCCCACTTTTAAGTGAAATATGACATGCGAAGAAAAGTTACAATTATGCGTTTGTAATGTACAATACATTATCTTTAAAGTCCAATCATGAAACCTTTATTGTCATGGAGAAAAGCCCAATAGTTAGTCCAAGCATTTATGCGTTTCTTGCACACCACACGATAATTAAAGTAGATGATTTGATAAGCTAGTCGTCAACCGTTTCGTCCCAAGTATTTAATTCCTCTTTTAATTTTTGGTTTTGAGCTGTTCTAAAGATAGTACCTACAACACCTAATAACAAAATCCAATTCAATTGAGACAAACCCATCATAGATGAGAATAGCAAGCGATTCGTTATATGACAAAAGATACACTCTGGTGTCATACCGTCGTTTAACAGCTAAACAAATACCGATTACACAACACATGTATGGATTTCTATAACTGTATAATGCGATTTGCTATCAGGCCCTATTACAACGTAAATCTTTTCTCGCTACTCGTTATTTAAGCTCAATACTGGTAATAATAAGGACCTGTCAAAGATCGATAATCAATAAACATTGTTACGTAAGTGTCCAATGTAGCACAACCAATGAGGATCTTATTGCTTTGAGAATTTACTTGAGAGCTAAACTATGTCGTTATGTCGTTCATTTCAGAAGCTTAACAACTTGGTTCAATTCTCTTTAGAAAGCCAACATAGATATAAACTCGAATGGATTTCCTGTTCAGATATTACCGACATAAAGTCAAGTCCAATAGACACTGTTCACTATGCTATCCGCAAAGAAAAAGCTAATAATACGCCGATAATACTGGTACTACTTGGAAGTAGCGAAGAATGCACAGCAGCACTTGTGAGTGAGTTTGCGAGAATATACTCACTTCCAACACACAAG